TCAAAGATCTGCTCAGGGAAGCCTGACACTGCTCAGCCCATTGGGTTTAGGGTCGATATCTGCACCCCAGCACCCAAAAGTGGGCCAGGGTTCACCTCTCTGAGCTGGTCTACAGATAGAAGCAACCAAAAAGCCACCTGTTCTGCAAACTTAGGGGCCTGTTTTGGGTCGGATATGTGTGTTTTGAGTTGGACACGGAGCCGTGAGGTGCCTGGGGCCAGGCTCAGAGGCTCTGGGCCTAGCGCAGAGCCCTGGTTGCTTTGGGGGTTCCTCCTTGGGGAGCTTCAAAACCCACCTAGACATGGGCACCCAGCTCAGAGGGCACCCTGTTGGGGCTGGGGTTGGACCAGAGGCACCCAGAGGTGCCTCCAGCTTGACCAGTTTGGGATTCTTTGGTTTTATTTCAGTGCAGGAGCCGCTGCCATCCCCGCATTGCCCTGGGGGCCTCCCCTCACAGCACGGCCCCGTAGCTCCAGCATCAAGGCCAAGGGCAGCAGGGTTTAAGCATTAAAACATGAATCATATTTGGCTGAGTCACAGGGATTTGCCTGGACACAGGCTCCCTCCCCAACACACACAGATGCTGCTGTAGGGGCTGGATGTGCTTCTTGGGGGGGATCCTTTGACCCCCTAGATCCACCTCCACGCTCCCTGCAGTGGTGCTTCAGCTCCATCCCGGGTGCTGCTAATAAAAAATACGGCTGGCTGTGTTTGAATATGAAGCTGCGACAGTGTCTGAGACTCGTTAAAGGTTATCACGGCTGAATCACTCATCCCGGGGGCAGGCGGGGGGAAGCAGCTGACTCACATCGCGGCAACACGCGGCCGGCGAGACCGGAGTCCTGATTTTCCCCCTGGCCCAGGGCTGCGGTATGAGCACAGGCTGTGATTTTCCTCCACAACTGCTCTTTTTCAGGACTGGCCTTACCACATGAAGCTCTCTGCTCCTGGATAAAGGATCTGGGAAGTACCAGGATAACAGCAAATTAACGCAAAAGCAAGAGGGACCAGATTTCCCCCTTGGTTATGCTGCTTCGATCTACAAGCAGAGCTGTTAAAGAGTGTGATTATCTGTGCAGTGACATGCCAGACACTAAGAAGCCTTGGTTCTAGTCCTGAATTTTAAAGATTTGGTTTGAGTTTTTCTGCCATAACAAGAAGCCCCTTGCAGGTATTTTCAAGATGCACATCCCTCACTGTTCACTGTAGAGATGCTCTTGCAGAGCCAGTGAGGACATGAAAAGAGGGGACCTGCCCAAACACCAAACCCTCTTAAACCTGAAATCCCAAGAGAGGTTCCCTCTGGTTCCTCCTCATTGCAACAAGGGCAAAAAAATACTCCAATACTCACCTCTGGCAGCCTCAAGTGCCTCACGTAGCCTAGGGGTGCCCGGTCTAAGCCTCTTCCCAAAGCAACCCCACAAACTGCACATCCCATCCTGACCCCCGCTCACATGTTCTGCATTGTATTAAATGAAAAGCCAGCTGACAGGCATGTACATAAATTAAAAAAGCCATTAAGTCTGTTATCACAGCCATAAACCTCCAGTTGCCCTAACAGACATGCCAGACCCCTCTGCCTGCCAGGGTGGGCTCAGCATCCAGACAAATCTCCAGACAAATGGGTCCATCAAACCGATCACTTCTTTCTTGGTGGGGGGCTTGGCCAGGGTGTGACAACAGGCTTATAGGATCTGCTTTTCCCCTGGCCTGACCCTGCAGCCTTGATTACTTTATAGCAGCCATTTGAAAACATCCACAATGATCATGCAAACACCGTGGGTAGCACCTCCTGGGGGTGGCATGGCTGTTGGAAGAGATGCTTCTAGCTTTCCCCGTGAGATGTAGCAAAATCCCTCTCCCAGCAAAACAGCCGCTCCTGTTTTTTCCAGCCGTCTCTGTTATTTTTGTGTCACATTGCTAGTTAAAAATAACCCTTGCCAGCACGAAGGGAGTTATTTGGGGCGCCCTTGTTTATCTTTGTTTGGGAAGAGCTCAAGCCTCCGTCAGCTGCTGCACTCCTCCTGAAAACCGACTTCTGCAAAAACCATCAATGCCCCCGACTGGTTCACAGCCCTGGAGGGATGCTTGTGGCTGTGCATTTAGCCAGGCCTGGTGTCACCAGCGAAAGGGGACAAGGACATGAGTGCCCATCAGAGATAGTGTGGGGGACATCCCGTTGTCCTGGACATCAGTTTGTGGCTTTTTAATGGGTTCCTGTGAGCACATCCTTGGCTGCAGGACAAAGCAGAGGGAGAAACCCTACAGCAGGCACTGGGGAGATGCACAGCCAGTGTCCCAAAACATCCTCCTGTCCCCTTGCACACAAGGAGGGGGACGGAGACACACCAAGTCCCTCCAGGGTCCTGCAGCCGACAGAAAACTCAGCGCATGTGACTGAGAATGGTGACAAAAATGCTCAGGTCAGGGCCTTGCCAAGTGAACCCCCCCGCCCCAAGGCAATCCTTCCTTGCTTTTATTTACTGCAGGACATTTTATGACCCAAAAGCATTCCTGGGGAAACTGTAGCACCCTGTTTGCAGCCACGGCGTGTTCTCATCAATGAATCAGGCCTTTCTTCGTGCCCTCCGTGGCTCTGCCTTTTTTTTTTTCTTTTAACAGGCTAAAGCAATCACATAGTAAAAGTCTGGAATCCAACCACAGGGAGCGCAAAAATATTTAACCAAGCTGTTTTAAATCAGGCCCCTGACTTGCTTTCACGCTGGCCTCCTTGCTTTTCCTTGCCTTGCACCACGCTTTCGATCCAACTCAAGGACTTCCAGTGAGGCTCCCACGTCCCCGTGTCCATCTGTCCATGGGAAGACCCCAGCAGGACCCACAGAGCCCCAGAGGTGACACCGGTTCCCCGGTGGCCTCTATTTCTTCATTTTGTCCCCCTCTGCCTCCAGGCAGCCAGAAGGGCCGAGTGCCTCTGCTCCTCCATCCTCCAGCTCACCACACCACGGCCTAGTCACTGAGAGCTGGATCTCCCTGCTTTCCATGGTAAATAATGACTTTAATTAGGAACTATGCATAATTAACCGTGCTGAGCTGATGACTCAGCTGGCTGTTAAAAGACCCTGCGGTCCCCTTTTTGCCCTCATTTTTTGAGTTTCTGCAACTTGTCTCTGGCCCTTTCCCCATGGATGTCGGTGCAGACCTTCGCGCCCCTGCAAGAAGGTGGCACCAGGTCCTTCGGGTCCACCTCAAGCCAGGACACATTTCTGAGGGATGAGGGTAAAGCCCCTCTACTGCAGAGGAGGGCCAGCCCCTGGAAATGAGGTTATTGTTGTCCTCATTTGAATTTTAAAATGCAAGCAGGCTCTGTCGGTTCAGACGTTACACTTAGACTCGGCGTTGTAAATAATGCAAGGTTTGCTCTTTTTATCAGCTTGCTCGGCAAATCAATCGGAGGGCTCGGGAAAGTGTTGTCATCATAAACGAACAAATTCATTAAGGCCCGTTGTGTGCCTTCATGTTTTAGTGGAAAGCAAAGCAAACACATCCAAGCAGCGCTCGCTCAGCCGGGTGGCCCCAGCCGAGCAGGACAAGGATCTCCCATGGGATTTATTTGAACCCCCCAGGACAAAAGGGGAGCCTGGATGAAGATGACTGGCAGTTTGGGGACTTACATCTCCCCTCCTGTACATATCCCAAGGGAAAGAAATTCCTCTCCTGAGCATCTTACCCAAGACCACCAATTCCTAGCAGGGAGGGAAGGTGTCTGGCTGTGCTCCCACCCTCTCGAGCCCCTCATCCCTCCGATGGGAGAGGTTTCATCCCATCAAAAGCACCCGGACAAAGCACTGCATGCCAGAACTCTATTTCTTCAAGCCATTTCTGCGCCCTCTGACAGCCTTCCCTTTCTGTGAATCACCACAGCCCAGCCAGGGCAGCTGTGCTGCTGCTTACACGTGCTCAGTAAATATGCTGTCTGGCAGCGAGCGGGGAGGTTTCTTCACAGCACGTTGGATGTGCAGAAGGGGAGAGATGCAGAGCATCAGCTCCCTCTCTGTTGCACGGCTGCGAGTGGTTTCACGAGCAATAACCCATGGGACATCCAGCTGGGACGTGCCCAGAGCTCTGTGTCCCTTACCGCACTCAGCCCCTGATACCTCTGGGTCTGGAGACAGCTCTGGTGTCCCCCTGCAGCTCAAGGGTCCTGCAGACCCCAGGATTTTGGCCATGGCAGAAAGGGAATTTCAGAGAGGCCACGAGCCCACTGCAAGAATGCCTCTTGCCAAAGGGAAACGTGTTCTTGTGCAAGCCCCAAAACATCAGTCATCACACCCCTTCTTCACTGGAGCTCCTTAGTCACCTCCAGGCACCTGATATTGCAGCTAAATTACACAATTTCATAGCATTTGCCAATTTTGCAGGTACCTGCAACCACAGCTGGCCTTAGAGCATTGCTCTAAGGACTTAAACTGTTAAAAGATTTGTTTTCACCCCGCTTTCTCAGCAACAGAAGTGACCCTTGGGCCGCTCCTGCACTAAGTCCTCCTGGCACAGCCTCTACATGGGATTAATCTGGCCCCGTACAGCGCCTGCCTCATCCGAGCTGCCGCCAAAACCAAGCTCATTTGCACATATTTATCGTAAGAAAAAAAAATAGCCATTCACTGATCCAGAACATTCATCTCTAAATATTTACAAAGCATTATTTATCCGAACGAAAGAGACATTTTTCCACTCAACAAACCAGGCATATGGTGGTAGCAGGCGATAGGAGATCAATTGCACAGAGCAATTCTAAACAGATTTAATGCCAGCAATAATTATTTTTAATCAGACAGAAAGTTCCCTGGGTGATAACCGAACATCCAGCATTTTAAAGCAACTGCGTTGGCCCCACATTGTTTGATACTAGTTGTGCAATTAAGCTCGTTGTGCCTTTTGATATTCCGGTGTGACTTTGCCCCTTTTCCCCCCAGTTTGGGGGAAAAAAAAAAAAAAAGAGGAAAAAATACACCAAGCCCTCTGTCATTTATTTCAAGCATGTCTTTTAATTACGGAGCTGCACTGAGATGGTGCACACAATATTCCGGGCTGGATGCCGGATTCGCAGACTCCCCGGTTGCTGCTCGGAGCTGCTGGGCAGAACAGAGTGAATCACGAGCAGCTCCCCCACTTCAGACCGTACCGGAGAACAACATGTACCGACACAAAGCACTTAACAAAGAAAGGCACGGGAGGAGGGATTTTGCCAGGTTTGGTTTTTTGGAGGGGTTGGACAGATGAACCCGCAGCCCTTAGCCTGGTTGTTTGAGCCCAGTCACGCACCGGGGGGAGCAGAGCAGGGGACAGTCCCCTGCCACCGTGACAAGAGCAGATCCCACGCTCAGCCCCCAAAAGTGGCATCCCAGGAGAGATTAAGTTATCTTTCTGGCATGGCTCATGTTTTGTAAGCTCTCTACAAGCCCAGTGACAGCTACAGGTAGGGTCAGCAGTGTAGGATCGTCTGCAATTCACGGGTTTATTCGTGCAGTTTCCTGCATAAGGGAATTGTGATTGGGATGGTCCAACACTAGGATTTCATTACCTAAACCTTCACTAACCTTGCACAGGGCAGTTTTGGGGTTCAAAAGGAAAATGTTTGGGGTATGATGCACCCACAGATGCTCAAAGCATCTTTCTGCTCATCCCAGAAAAAAAAACTCATCCAGGAGACCCACAACCACCCGCATCATCTGGGGGAAGATACCTGGCTGGAGACGTGTCTCAGACCCTGGTGCCCTTTGCAGCTTCACCTGGGGGATGCAGCACAGGTGCCATGAGGACAGTCCTGCTCTGTCAGCCTCCAGGGCTCTCCTCCTCCTATCTGCTGAAGTATTTCTGATAAATCTAAGGGGGTGCACACCGGAGCCAGAAATCCAGCCGACGAGAAGCAGGCTTTTCATCTTCACTTTGGGGACTGCTAACAAAAAAAACATCTTCAGAGAAATCTGTCCCCTGTGTGTGAGAAGTGCTCTAACCTGCTTCTAAATGGGACGGACACGCTGGTTGTTTTAATATCCCTCCCAACCACCGGCGTTCAGAAAAGATAAATGGGATTTTGCCTACATCCACAGAGCCTTTGCACCTCAGCTAGGCTGGAGCACAGCAGCCGGCACGCACAGGCTGAGCTGAAACACAGTTTGTTCCAGCAAGCAGAAAGCTCAAGGGGAATCGTCTGCTGCCTCTGAAGTGATACCATCAGGCCAAGAAGGTCTACGGCTGGCGTTTAATAGGCAAGATTATTCTAGGCAGGAAAAAGGCAGCGCAGTTTCACTCCAGGGACTTGGCCAAGCGCAAGGAGATGGCTCTTGACTTGTTCTCCGCCTTGGCTCGTGGCAGCCCTGGGCACTGGGGTGCCCCCAGGGGTAATTTTGGGGGTGCTGGAGAGGGTTTCCCATGCAAATGTGGGAATTACTTTCCCATGTAATGATTACATTAAATGTAAATAAGCCCAGGTGAGACCCGCCTGCCCAGGGCAGCTCTGGCAGGGCACGATGCACAAGCCCTGCCAAAAATCTCCACGATCTCCACATTGACCTCGACTCAAATAATCACCTCCCAGGGCCCAGGGGTGGGTTTTGCCATGCAGCTGTCCTAAACTTTGCAATTACGCCCAGATTTACTGTCTCTGGGTGAAAGGATGGCTGCTCATTGCCGGCATCAAAGCTGCGGGTGCACGCAGCGCAGCGCTATCAGCAGTTCATTATCCCTCCCGGCCGCCCGGCCTCCTTCTCCTGCCCTGATAAGATGAGCAGCAGAAGAGAAAGGCGTCGTTCTGGAGAAAGCTCTCGGGATCTGTTCATCAGATTTGCCCTTTTATAATAAGAGCCATCTAATTTACATGCTCATTTAACGCTGTAGGCAGGCATGCGTCTTAGAGAACCTTCCAGGTACTTTATTCCTTTATCTGAAAACCAACCCATTTACAAAAACAGCACTTCCCTTAAACCATAATTAGGTCACTGTGACCCCACAGAAGCTTTATCAAACCCCTTTTGTGTCCAAACAGCACAACTTCACACATGCTTTATCCAAGCATCCCCATCACGAGGTTAGGCGTATTCCAGCCCAATGCATTAACAGATTCGCAAGCTTCATCTGATTAGCAAAACCGAAATGCCTAGGGAAAAAAAAAAAATAAAAAAAATGGGGAAATCATTCCTAGTTCTATTTCTGCTTCAGAACAAGCACCACTTCCACCCGGGGAAACCTCTCCTGCTTCCCTCGCATGACCCTTTCCAAAATCCTACACGTGGCAAACCTCCCAGCGAGGACCTTTTCCAAAAAGCACCAAGAGGGCTTGGTTATTCATCAGCCTGGGGGCTCCCAGCCTGCAGGATATTCAGACATTCAGAGTAACTGGAGGGAAGAAGTCGTTTTTTCCCATTTCTGGGCTGCTGAGCACCCTCGGTTTATGAAGCACTAATGCAACATTGCAATGCCATAACGGGACGGCCACAGCAGCTCAGAGCAGTTTTGCTCACCCATGCATCCTTCTCCCAGGCAGATTTTTTTGCAAATAGCATGTGATAGATGGAAAAAAAAATAATCAGAAAGCATGCAGCGCTGTGAACAGCCACCACCAGCAGTCCCATATGCTCAGGGTCACCGGGACACGGCGGGTGCAAAGCCCAGGAGCTCCCGCTAATTCGCACAGAAAAGGGATTTCCCAGCTCAGCTTTGGCTCTCCCGTCGGATCCGTCATCCGTTTAGCGGCGCTGCCTGGAAATCAGCTTTGTGGCCGCTCACCCCAGCTCTCCCCGGAGTCCCAGTGCCCCAGGACCCCAGAGGCAGGCTCTCAGCTCCCCCTGGATGTGTCTCTCCCAGTTCGGAGCTGCTGGATTTTCTGCTGACATCGCCCTTCACCTCCAGTCTGTTTGCTCCCTCCCCGGTGTTTACGCTCCTGCTGTATTTATAGGCAGGCGTCGCGTCCTCTCCCAACCTCCCTGGCCAAACACAGACGGCACCCTTCACGTCCTCTCCCAAAATAACCCCTTTTCCCTGCCCTTCCCAGCCTCACTTTGCTGCACCTGCTGTGATTTAAACTCTTCTTTCAGGGAGCACAGAGCGGGCCCCCAGGGCACATTCCCAAAGGGATTTCCCAGTGTTTTGGGAGCAGGGAGCACCATCAGCATGAGCATTTCCCTACGAGACTTTAGGGCCAGGACTTTAATTTCCCCATAGCTCATTAACTCACCCAGCACCTCGCTTTGCTGCCTATACTTTATATCACCAATTATTTCCTCCGTCCCCTTTCATCCTGCCTTATGAACTCAAGAAAAAACAAATCATCTCTGGCTCATGGCTGGCTCTTTTTCCCCCTTCTCAAGTCTTTGCCACTCCCCAGGCAGACGATGCCACCTCCAACTCCTCTGTCCACAAAGGGCTACCTTAAGTGTTTGATGCGGACGCTGCAGGGAGGAATACTCCCTCCGTTTCAGGTTATTATCTCACCAGAACACCATACATTATCCTGCAATCTCCAGCCGAGCAGGGGGTCTGCGGTATCATCGTGGTAGCTTGTTTTGAGCGCACAGATTGCTCGCTTCATGTTTCTGCCCACAAAGAAGGATGCATTAAAAAAAAATAAAAAATAAATAAAATAAAAACAGAAAGCATCCACTTAGGCTGCTGATAATATCCTGGTGGAAAAAAAAAATAAAATAAACTGAAGCAATGATTGGTGGCACAGGATTTGTTGCAGGCGCGGAAAGGCTGTTGGGGAAGCACTCGTAGGGGTTTGCAACTAGGGGAAAAAAACAACCCTGCAGCCCTTGGAGCATGCCACGTGTTGTGATGCTCTGTGTGACCGTAGGGCTTCGTGACTGTGACTCTGTGGGACGTTTGGTGCACGTGTGCCAGCAAACGATGCTGAGCTTCCCAGCAGAAGGCAGAGTGTAAATGCTAATGCTGCTCCAATGGGGCACAGCGCCTCTTGTTTGAGGAGGCAGGGAGCCCTGGTTTTCCTCCCAGAGCTCAAAAACTTCACAAAATTTTAAAATACACCCTGTCAGACACCCAGCACCATGTGCTTTTGCTGGGACGAGTAGCCACCACCAAAGGGATCTGCTGGCTTTCAGTGTGTTTGGAACTCATTTCTCATGTGAAGGGACCCCACGAGCAGCCAACCTCCCCAGCACAGGAAGGACCTCACAAGGACTTCCCAACTAACCTGGCACTAGTTCTTTAGGGGTTTAAAGAAAGAAGAAAATTTACATGTCCAAGATAATAAATTCCTCTGCTCAATTAGCCTTGCAGATTTAAGAAAAAGATGGATCTTCTCAAGCAAAAGCCATCAGCATCTCCGTGGCACGGCTGCTCCCAGAGGCTTGACACAGCACCAAAGAGCAGCAGGACCTCAGCATGAAAATGGGCAACAAGGAGAGAGCATGGGCAGAGCAGAATGATTTCCTGACCCAAAGAAGGGGCAAATTCACCCACCAAGGCACCTCAGAGCAACATTTCCCAAGGACCAAGCGTATTTTACTGTAGTTGCTCTGCACCTTCCACCTGGAGAGGCGGTAGAAACCCCAGCTCTCTCCCTAGGAAATTTTCCCATACCCATCAGTGCTATCACAGCCTCGGATTAAATCCCTCTGTGTTTGACATAGAAATAATTGATGCTGATCCAACTGCAGGCTATTGCTTTTGGTAAGGAAAGGTTCTGCACCAAGCAGCATGAAGATCCGGAGCACTGAAGAATGGTGCTGTTACATCCCAGGAGAAAAATAAATTGTGAATTTGGATTGGGGGGAAAAAAGGAAAAAAAAAAGGGTCGTGAGGACAACCTGACCTTAGGGCAGCCTCATATATAATGTATAATTGGGGCGCAGCAGGACAGCGTTTGAGCAAAAGGTCAGCTTGTGCCTGCGGAGGGAGGAGATAGCCGAGGACACAGCTCCTGGGGGCTTGGAATGAAGAACTAAATCCTGAGGGGCTGAGCCTTTGAACAACCCCACGTGGCCAAAGCAACTTTGCAAATCATTCTTTTTTCTCTCTTCAGAGCCACCACCTAATTCAGCCGCTGCAGCTGCCTCTCCGCAGAGAGCCGGGACAGCCAGAAAGCTAATCATGTTCCCCACAGCCACGTGCAGGGAAGCGATGCTTTACATCAGGAGCCGTCACTCCAGGGCTGCTGAAGCTTTGCAAAGCTTTGCACGGGGCAGCTCAGGCTGTAGGACGCAGGCTGGGCTGCCTTACCTTGGATCCACTTCCACGATCCCCCCGTGGAGCCAGCGGGGTGCCACCTAAGGACCCTCCTGTGATGCTCAGGGACCTGTTCTTGTCAAATACAGCTTAAAAAACCACTAATGCGTATAGCAATTACTGTATATAAATGCTTTTAGAATCCAAACTAGACCTTATATAGGACACAGCCCACGTAGAGCATGTGGACCGTATACAGCACCTGGGCCACGTATAGCACCCGGCCCCTATGCAGCACATTTCGGTGGCAGCGTTCATGCAGGGAAGCAATGCGAAAGCAAGAGGACTGCAAAAGCAGCAAACGAGGCTGGAAAAAGTACCCGTGGCACAACAAAGCTGACCAGATACACGGATCGTACGTTAAGCTGAAGGTTTTGCAGAATGCAAATGTGGTCTGCAATTTCTTACGTTCACAGCCAGAAGCAGGAGTCACGGCAAGAGGGAGGAAGAGGAGGGCACCAGGGATCCCAGCTCACCTCCAGGTTCAGTGCCAATGGGTCTCTTTTCATGAAGTGCACCTGAAGCAAAAGGGATGCTGGTTTTGCAGTCCCAGAAGCTAATTAGCATTTTGCAACCTTTGTTTTTTTCTCAATTTTCCAATACCTTTTCTTCCTTGCTAGAACTGGGTGTGCTGGCTTGGCTTGCTGTTCCAGGACCAACTGAAACTCTTCGACTAAAGAAATAATTATTAACCAAAGAGTTGATTTTATTGAACGAATGCACTTCACCATTCGAATTGAGTCATTTTTGACCAGCCTGTTGACAGTTTCTGTTGGAGCACCGCTGTTTTACTCATGTATGTGTGTGCACACATACACGAACCCTTTCCATCTGGGAACAGCATCTTACTACGGTAGGTTTATCACGCAGAGAAGTAAACACAGTTGTCAACCTTTGTAATACAGATGAGGGCTGTGGTGCGGATCCAGGCACAAAATACTGCCCCAGATCCCCTGCTAAGCTGAATACTGTCAGATTTCTCATGTGCATATCTTTCTGCTCCCTTTCCCAAGCCCTGATGAAAAAGAAGCTGCAAGGATGAAGGAGAAGGAATAATGCTGCTTCGCCTACAAAAAAAACAGATTTTTTTTTTGCAAGCAAAGCCAAGCAGCGGTGGATTTTGGAGATGCTCTCAACCAGGGAGCTGCTCAATCCAGAGCTCAGCCCCCATGGGGCCATACAGGATCCTCTCCATTGCTGGAATTATTCAGGATTTGGGGTCCAGAAGAGCATTTTCTTGCTATTTCTGAGTAGCTCTGAGTGCAGACTGAGCTACTTAGTTCTGGGCTCCACATTCACACCTGTACTCCCAATGGACTTGTAACCACAGGAGAGCCCTAAAGATTTCAGGTGGGAGCTGGGAGCACTGGGCTTGCCCAAGCGCCCCTTGTCCCCTGTATTTTCCAAGACTGCGACTGCGTGCTGAATGGGGATCGTGAATTTATTTATATTCCAGTGGGCAGCTGTATTCCTTCTGGTTTGCTGCACACAAGTGTTATTCTTCCAACAGAGCCGCTCCCTTCGCGTTGGCCCTTTGGATTACCCAAGCCCTGAAACGCTCCCTCCTGTTTCCCACAGCCCTGTGCAAACAGGACAGCAAGGCAAACACCGTGTCGCAAGGGCGCTTATCAACGTTGCCAGCTCTTAAAAATGCTGGAAAAGTGCTTTCTGTGCACTTTCCTGTCCTGCTGTGCTAATGCAGGGTGTGCCCCCAGCCCAGGCGTCTGCCCTCGGGAGGGGAGCATCGTCTGGTGGTTGCGCACGGTCGGATCCTGAGCTCCCCGCCTGCCCTTTTCAGACTGCACGCCATGCCAGGAAGGGCATTATAAATTCAATTTAATAATTTAATCTTCTCTCTCTTCAAATTAGGAAGGGCTTCCTTGAACTCCCCGATGATTTTGCTGCGCCGTGGCCAGCCTGCTGTCCCGGTGTCTCACCGGCCGCTGGCTTCAAACGCGGCACAGCCGAATGGGAGATGACATCTCGGCACTGCGCATGACCAGAGGCACAGCTATTTAATGTATTTATTTTAAAGCCCTTTTTACTGGTCCATTAGTCACACGCACGTAAACCAAGCACGTTTCTTGGGACTGGCTGGCGGCACGGACCGGCAATTATCTGCCCTTGGCTACCAGCAGCAGCGCTTGCTGCCCAAATTTGTGCCAAATTGGCAAACCGTCCCGGGATTATTTGATTTGTTGGGTGGTTGTGGCTGAAAACACAAGGAATTTTGTGAAATAGAGACACCATGGGCACAATGTAGGATCTTGGGAGCCCTCCAGGTCAACTTTGGAGACCTCACCAGAGGTCCCAGGATAAACCCTAGCCCAAGGGACATGGCCAAAAACTCCTCTTTAACCTCAGCAGGGCTGGGGCATCATTTCACAACCCTTAAGAAGGTTTCACCCTCTTCCTGAATCCTGGATCAGCTTGACTGGGGATTCCCATGACAGTCCCAAAGCTGAACTGTAGGTCCTGCTACGGAAACACGCTGGGAGGTTTTCCAAGGAGGAGGAATCCCATTTGGCACGGGTTCTCCAGGAGGCTCAGACACCCACAGAAAGGCTGCTGCTCGAGAGGGCTCAGCAGCAGCAACACCAGGCTCAGCCCTGGTTATCTGGGGATGGCTGCAAACTTTCTTATCCCCCCCTAAACCTGGGAAAGGCCATGACAAGCAGAAGTGTCTGCTTCTGGATGCATTTGGAGCTTGTCACCGGGCACAGGAGAGAAGCAGCAGAGCACTTGCTGGTGCACGCAGCCAGCTTGCCAGCCGAGCTCATCCACGGCAGCCAACAGACAGAGAGATGGAGATCTGCAGTAATTGAATGGAATAATATCCTGTGCAGGGATTTTAAATATTTTTCATTCAGGGATAAATTAGGCTTTAATTAAACGGTGTCATTTAATGCACTGCCCAATAGATATGGTAATTGCTTTCTTTCTTTTTTTTAAGAGGCAGCGTGGTTATAGTTACTCATTCGTAAAGTGCCGGTGATGCTAATTCAGCCTGGTGGATGTACAGACAGCCACGCTGAGCATCACACCCCGGTGAGACCAAACCCCAGAGCTGCCTTTGATCACCACCGCTGCAGCTTGTGCACCCTCTATTCCCCTCCTGTTCCCATCCAAACCTGCCAGGAATGAGCACGGGCTTCAAGGGAAGAGATGTGGCTCCTTGCTCCTTTCTGGCACCAAAAGTAGACTGTGCCCATGCTGGGGACACCCTTCTCGTGGGGCTTGTCTTTGAGGATGCAGAAGGGAAAGGGGATGCCTTGCCCTTAGCTGCCTGCTGCCTGTCTGTGTAGGAGCACCAGTTACACCAGTGTAACTGCTGGAAATTCAGTGCTGGAGCTGGTGAGGAGCCCTTTGGTTTGGTGCTTTAAGTGAGGCACATTGCACTTACCCCGAGTTGCTCGCAGGTATCTCCCTCCCTGGAAAACCCTGGTTAGAACAGCATTTCACAACATTTTAAGGATTACCCAAAAATGCCTTTTACCACTCCACTCCCAGAGCCCCCCGTGCTGGATGTCACATCTCCCTCCATCTGCTCCCTGCTGGGTTAATTCCCCTCGCTCCGAGCTGCCCTGCCTTTCATCCCTGCTTTAATGAGCTAAGTCGTCGTTAATGATGCTCCTCTCTAAAGCAACAAAAGAAACCGGGTTAATATTCGGGGCTGTTCTCTCAGGCTCCCTGCAAACTCAGTCTGGATGGACGGCGTAAATCTGCCAGGCGAAGTGGCAGGTGAGGTGATTTATGGCACGGCTGCGCCCTCCGCACCAGCAAAAGGAGAGCTAGAAATATTTTGATTGTGCAGCCAGCACCACTTCACACCAAGAGCTTCCAGGTTTAGCACCGCTGATTTTCCTCCTTTTTTTTTTCTCCCCCTTTTTTTTTAAAATTTCAGATTGAACGTTTATTTTGCAAAGAGGGCAGCTAGGGACTTGGGAATAAATTGCTATAGACACACACCAGGATGGGTAGCTGGGGAGTTTTTGCAGCTCCAAGAGTTTTTTGTTTGTTTTTTGTACCTCCAGCACAAGGTTCAGGACAACAGGACCAAAGCTTGCACAAGGTGAACCCAAAACAAGCCCCAGCTTGGAGAGGAGCCGTGGTGTTTACTGCGGCGGCGGCGGAGGAAGGATGGAGAGCAGCCCTCACCAGTTACTTTTAACAAAGCGCGCATTTTCCTGGCTCTACAAGGCACTCGCATATTTTAGCTCCTATATTCTGTTCAGCAGCTAAAAAGAGACTTTTCATGCCAGTTTTGGCTGCCGCGCCGCGTTCCCCATTCACAGGCTGCTCCACAGCACAGCCGGCAAGGGGAAAGTCAGGGTGTGGGGATGTGGGGACACCCCAAAATCTCCTCCGCAGGCAGCTGGGCTTTTTGGGCACGGCGCTGCACAAGCCCTCACTGTGATGCCTGCAGCGAGGCAGGAATGCCAAGCAGCACCCGGGCTGAATTAGCTTTCTGCCCACAGCTCATCCCAGGAATCCTCCCCAACAGAGATATATTTGTATTGAACAACAAAAAAAAGATTATAGGAAACCACATAAACGCAATCCATCACCCACAATTAGAAATAAATGAGGGCGGAATCAAGAGAAACTTTCTTTTTGCATGTCCTCTTACAGCAGTATGCTGATGTATATGTATATATTCATATATTCAAGGACTTTCGTTAAAGATAAAGCGAAGAGAGTACATATACATTTACATATAGAGTGTGCATGCATATACATTTATATGTATATCTACATCTGCATATAAATATAGAGCCATAGAATATCCCCAGTTAGAAGGGACCCGCAAATATGAAGAGATATATATAGATGAGATAGATAGAAATATAGGTATATAGAGATGAGATAGATAGAAATATAGGTATATAGAGATGATATAGATAAAAATATAGGTATATATATCAATAGAGATACAGATGATGATATCTAGCTATAGCTAAATATAGATATATAGATAATTCTAGGTATAGATAGATAAACATACACATTATAGATATACACAAGCAGCCCAAAGTTACAGACCTTCCTGGCCTTGCTAAAGCCCAGGCACATCAACACCCAAAGTCAATTTTATCCCAGCAATTCACCTATTTTACCCTTTTTTTTCTTTTTTTCTTTTTTTTTTTTTTTCCTGCCAATAAAGACCCAGCTCCAGGAGGCAGGTGAGCCTTTCATAACCACGGCATTCTTCGGGAAAGCAACCAGAAAAGATTATTCAACCAAAAATACCTCCCGTCAGAGCACGGGATCCTTAATCCCCCGTTATTGCCTGTGGGTAAAAACTGGTGAAAAGTAGAAATTACTCTTGCTTTAATGAGGGGCAGACCCCTGCAAAGCCCAAATAGCCAGCACAAGGCCCCAGCAGCCCTCTCACTGCCTCTCCCACTTGCTGCAGAAGGCACTTTCAGGAGCACTAAACTTACCAAAACCCCTTTATAAGATAATAAAAAAACTTATTTACTTGAAGAGAGTGGGAGGTGAAAGGTTTCTTTAAGTAGATTTAAAGTGAAAACCATTAGAGGTGCATTGTTCATTGAGTTCCTTTGCCCATGACATGAGAACAAAATGATCTGATCTAAGCAAAACTTCTGGTTTCATAGCAACAACGAATATATATTTTTTGTGGGGAAATTTAATGCAAATCAGCGCTTAGGTGCATAACTTGTGACTACTTTATTTCCTGTAGTCAAGTCTGTTGAATCTCTATTAAAATATAATTTAACTAAATGGTTTCCTGGAAAACAGTAATAATAAAAAAACTCTTGCTTTAAAGTCAAAAAAAATGTTGGGGAAAAAAAAAAAAAAAGCTTCTGAGGTTCAGTTGTTAAAAATAATGCTGTTTAGGTCTTTTAGCTCACTTTGCATGAGATCTCAGAAAACTTTTGGGAGACATCTGGGTGCCTTAGCCCTCTCCTAGTGCCGGGAGGCAGCAGGAGGGCAGCATCCCCAAGGTCCATAAGCACGCTGCGAGTTCACCACTGATGCTACACATCTTCAATGAGACATAGGAGCTGGGAAATGCACCTTTTCTGGGTTTATCCCCATCACTTTCACAACATACGGCCCAGAACATGTCCCCTTGCTCCACAGACACAGCCACTGTCACGTCCATGCCATCCCTCTCCAATGGCCACCTCACTTTGGAAACCAAAATCAGGTTCCTGCAGGATGCAAAGCATCTTCTATGCTGAAGAACAGACATCACCAACAAATTTTCTAGCTCCAGGTTATGATACAAATATGAGTGGTAGCAGCCCCCAAATTTGGGTGAAAGTGTCCACATCTCCCATGCTGAGCTGGAGCTCGGTGCTCCGGACACAGACAGCCAGGACACCAGGTATAGAGGCAAAAATATAAGTTTCTTTTGCAGTTTTTTAGCCTCAGTCTTCAGATACAAACCATCAGACTCTTTCGTACACATGGTCTTCAGTCCAACCAGGGAGATGATGGTTAAAATTTAGGGGAGTGGGAGCAAGAGAAACTGCACCGCGATTTCTGGGCAGCTCATGCGTAAGCTACATAAAGAACCTAACGTCCTAATCAAAGCAGAATTTAGCCAGTCTATGTTTTGCCTTTAATCTTCTTCATTTTCTGCAAAAGAAAGGAAATAGTTCCTTCAGGGCAATCAAATCTATGAGTTTCCAGGGCTGTTTTATCAGAAATTTCTCCCACAGGCTGCTGCTTCTGCAGTTTCCCTTCCCTGAGGGGAAAATGGGGACTAAAGGGAGTTTTGCTGCCCTCCCCATAAAAAAAAAAATTAAAAAAAATGCTCCTGGCATTTAATTTAAACTCCCCTGCTGCAATTTAAAACCTTTATTTCTTTTCCCGTCCCTGATGAACAATAACAGAGAAATATTATCACACAATATAAAATATTAAACACCTGTTGTAAATATTAAATTATACACAAATACAGCCTGCAAAGATAATGCTCAATACATTGTTTACATTGCTACTGATTAATATTGGAGATTAAAATTAATACTCACATAATATAAACATCAACATGCTTTTAGTGTGCAATTAAACTGACTGATTTCATCAGCACAGAATGTTCTCATCCTTGCAAAACAAGACACAGTAAAACCAAAACCGAAAAGCAGGTCTGAAAATATTGCCAAAACCAAACTCCCCGCTACAACAGCTTTGGATTGCAAATTTTTTTAATTTTTTTTTTCCACTTTGGAAAATAATTTTCTCAACCTGGCAGGCGTTTGGTCTCCTCCACGTCAGGGTCCATCCCTGGCTATGGATGGGGTATCCCAGGGGCCGTGAGAGCCACTGATGTTTTCTTTCCTGAAGAAGCCTCTAAACTGGGACGTGTTAACACAGCTGCTGGGTGTAAGGCACGTTGAGAAGCTCACGTCTAACAAGGTCTCACCTGGAGAGCACCACCAAGGGAGGATGGAGACAAAGAGGGCAGAGCCCCAGGCGGTGAGGGAAGGGGGATCAGAGGAAGGGAAAGCAGAACCCGGTGAGCAAGGTCTGAAGGAAAAAGGGAGAGAAATCAGTGGGAAGGCTTCTCAACAGGCCTCAGGGGTGTGAGGTCCCCTGGAGAAAGGAGCACACAGCTCTCCTCTGTCTGTGATGGGCAGATTGAAGCACAGCACACTTGGGTGAGACGTGAGGAAGCCTTTCTAATGACAAGGCTAATTAGGCACCTGTATAGATTAGCTGGGGAAACAAAAGACTAAATCATTGGAAATCTTTGCAAACAAGTTAGGCAGACACGTAGGAATGCTGCAGAAAGGCAGGTTTCTTTTCCAGCCAGGGAGAAACCTGGCACTGTGTTAAGTGGCCATCTATTTTCTCCGACTGCTCCTACCCTTGGCTTTTTATCTCCCCAGGAGCCCATCCTGCTGGATCTCAGCAACGGGAGCTGAGAAGCCGTGCATTAGCTCCTCTTCAGGCTCCCAGACACCAACCAGCATGAGGGGAGACCAAACCCAGCGGAGGTCTGTAGGAAAACCCCTTCTTGCTGTCACCACGCCGAGATGCAGCAGCGCTCCGTGTGCCTGCTGCCTCCGCAGGGGCGAGCAGGATGAAGACAAAACGTGGCTGTGCCATTAGGTAATGGCACACATCTTGGCAGATGACTGCGGTGATAAAGCACGCCGTATGTCCCAGCTCCTGTGTAAATCTTCCTCACCTGACGTTGCTGTGGAGCGTTTGAGAACATGCTCTGGATGTTTTCTTTGTCCCCACTATGTGCCACACACCTAAAGGCAGTTAACCTCTGACGTGGCCTGGAAAGGATCTGCTGCATCCTCAAAGTTCAGGTGCTTCTGTGGTCGGTCCTGCACTGCATTCAGGAAATGTTGTCCTCAAGAGCCAGAACAAGTCCATGTAACACATGGTGCACAACGCAGGCGATATTGGCTGCTCTCTGCCAGGCTGCGAGGGCTCTGGAGGAGCAACCAGTGCCTGGGCATCCAAAATTTGCATTAGCAACCCTGCTGACAGACTGCAGAGCGTGTTACAGAGCGTGCAGATAACTCTGGGCTAGGAGGACTGCAAGGTTTTTGGAAGGCAGCTGGCTAGAAATGATCTGAATAAATTCGGAGCGATTATTTTAAATGAGCTAGACAACATTCGGAGAGGCTAAGAGCTGTGCTTGGGATGGGTAACTGAGACACCCAGATCCAAGCTGGAAAGCAGCTTTTGGAGAGGCTGATAACCCAAAATAAAGGCGGAGGCAGTGGTGATGGCCCGGGCTGGGATGCTGAAGAGCAGCCAGATGTGGTCAGCCCACGTGGGATGGATTAAAGGACGGGAGGCTGCAGGCCCGTTCACCATCTGCTATTAAAAAATAACAACCAAAGCTCAGGTTTTAATTTGCCAGAGGAAAAAAAAAAAAAAAAAAAAAAAACAATAATTGGATACATCCAGCTGTGGATTTCCCAATAAGCAGCCTCGTGTCAGTGGTTAGGCCCCCAAAAAGGGGCTCTGCCCCGCAGAGAGCTCCTGGCCAAGGTTTCCTTCCCAGCAATCCAGCACCAAGCTTGGTCACAATCCTGCTGCTGGTTGCCCTCAGGTGCTTGCATACTCCTGCAGCTTGCAGAAATGCCAGCAATGAGATTCCTTCATTTTATTCATTTTATTCAATTTGTACTGTGGGCACAGGCACGTCGCCGTACCTTTCCTGGAACAGCTGCTTGACCTTTTCCTTCATTCTGTTGCTGCTCGCCATGAATTTTTGTGAAGTCCTTTTCAAAATCACTTCTCTGGTGAGATTTTTTCCCTCATTTGGGCTCCCTGAAGTTGATTTATTCCCGGCTGAGGCCTGAGCATCAGCACTAGGGAAGCAGGATAGGTCCCTGCAGCACAGGGTGGCTGGAGCAGGCATCGTAGCTATTGTTCTCCGCATCCGCTGCTGCTACGAGGGGAGGAAATCAGCTCTACCTAAAGCAAAGAAAGACATCAATTAAGAAAATCATTAGAAAAAAAAAATGTCTGGCAGTAGTGTAGCAATGCATGGGAATAGGCAATGCAGGCAGCCACAGAAAACAGATGTAAGGGGGTGAGGGTGGGCACCCCTGCAGGGTGTCGGGGGGCAGGGGGTGAGGGTGGGCATCCTGACACCTTTCCTGAGTGACTCTGGGATGGGGCAGGCACACGGTGGCTCTCACGGTGAGCTCTGGAGCCCACCCAAGCACCACCCGTGTGCAGGGAGTCCTCGCTAATGGGAAAGCCACCTGTTATTCCCTTACAAGGGGAAAAAAAAAATATGTTTTCCTTCTGCTAGCCCTAGCAAAGCAAACAAGCCAACCACCCAACAAGGCTCTTTTGACCAAATCTCCCCCTCTGAATAAAATTTGGGGGAGAAAGCGGGGTGTTGTGTTAACCCCTGTGCTGCTGGAACGCCTGCTGCTGCAGAGCAAGCGCAGGCAGCCGAGGGGACCCCTAAAAAAGGGGGCTGCCAAAGCTCCTGGCACTGCCCCCAAAATCCCCATCTATTTCCTAGCAATCCCGTAGCCGTGCTGACAGCACAAATGCTCCTGGATAGAGATATTTAGGGGAGCATCTTTCCCCTGAGCCTGTTGGGCCCTGATACCCCCTGCCTCGCCTCCGCGTCTCTCCATCTCCACCTAATGAATTTGCACTGCTGGGATCCCACTCCTGAAATAAATATCGCACACCCCGGGCTCCCTGGGCTCTGTCAGGGTTGGGGCGGCTCGTGTCAGGGAAAAGCCAGCGCTTGCCAGGGAAGGAAGCTCCAGAGGGGAGATGTATTTTTGTTACTGTGGCTGTGTTTGAAGTTTCTATAGCTACCAGAAGCGAGCTGTTGGGAAATGCTGCTGCGCCCTTCCCCACGCGACGCTTCGGAGCGGAAAAGCAGGAAACGGGACCCATCGAAATTGGGGTTTGATTTCCCTTCTTTAAGCATCTCTCATCTCCGTGCCCCCTTTCTGGCTGGGCCATTTGGCCGCGTGTTAGCCATGCTCCACAGAGCCCGGCGATCAGATTGCAGGGGCAGATGTCTCGCAGCTTCCCCACAGAGCTGCGAGCGACGGTGGCCAAGGACCCCAAAACCAGGTGGGGAGCAGCCTGCCAGGCTGAGCGGGGGCTGCCCAGCCCTCAGCATCTCCTCATCCCAACCATCAGCATCACATGCTGCTGGGCAACCCCGTCGGGATCCTGCATTTCTATTTTTCCTCCTTTTCCCCGTTTCCATCAGTCCTTCAGCATTTACACACCCACCCACAGGCGCACGCAGCACGCAGCAGATAACCTTTAACGAAGCTGTAATTCTGCTTTCTGATGCTGGCGACTCCAGCCCTGAGACCAGAAGGAAAAGAGACCAGATAAAAGAGGCAAAACCTTTGGAAAGCCAAAAGCACTGCCCCGAGCCCACGCCAAGCCCCGAGACCACCTTTGCATCCCCAGCTCACTGCTGGGATGGTTAAATCCACCTTCCCTCGTAAAACAACGAGCCAGTCTTTCGCATGTGCTGGGGAATAATGCTCACTCTGTTATATGCGGAGCCGAAATTGCTCCGGGGGGACAGAGGGGTACTCAGCTACACGATGATAAATGGGGTGTAAGGCCCATTGCCTCAAAGGGGTTCAGGTATTCGAGTCCTGGCGGTAACAGGACTCGTTTTGTTCGCGGGCGGAGGCGTTTCTGGAGGCTTTATCTAGACCCAAGGCGTTTCTCCTCCTGCTGCCAAGTGTTGGGACGCAGCAATCCAGAACATTGCACTCACCTCCCTGTTATTTTACGTTACCGAAACAATTCGGTCGCCTTTCCACAGTGCAGACACGCACGTACAGCGAGGGGCTGGTCCCTCGGCGCTGATGAATTACTAAAACGCGCTGCTCGGGAGGTCAGGGGTCGGGTGCGTGCAAACATCCTCAAGTTCAAATGTTTCCCCAAAGCTGGCCTGAACTTCGCACGACCTTCCTTGGTCTGGAAACGCGAAGCAGCCGGCGCTCCTCGTGAGATTACCAACACGTCGTGAATCCAGCACCCCCGGCACAAGTTGCTTTTCCTGGAGCATCCGGCCCTCGGCCCCAGCTGCTGACCAAGACCTGGAGAGCTGGGCTGGAGGTCGTGGCCGAACGCCAGGAATTGCTTCAGATGGCTTCCAGGTGGTCTCTGACGGCGTGGACGTGGCCTTCAGACGTTTCTCCACCTGCTGTCAAGATCCAGGGACCAGAAACAGAGGGGAGAGATTTTGTTATCGAGCAGGAGCTGCCTGCCCTCGGCTCGGGTCAGTGTTTTAGTTATAATTTGCCTAACGGCACGCACTATTTCTGCTGTTGCTTCTAACAAGCAATTTGCCACTTTGGCTGTTGCCTGGAATGCCAGAAGATTAACAATCTCTCTCCTGGGCCCACAAAATCTCCTTTTACTGCTGAAACTAATTATGCTGTTAACCACTAATGCTGCCGAAGGAGAGCTAATGAGTTGCTAGACGGTGGGCGTTTTATCTCCCGTGCACAAGGAGCTGCAGCGACGCAAGGAGCGGCACCACCAGGAACCTTGTGCAGGGCCCGCAGGCTGTCTTGAGAAAGAGAAAACCAAGGAGGAGAAAAAGCCACAGCTCCTCTCGCCATCCCCATCACCTGCGACGCTCGGAAGAACAGCCGGGGAGATGGAAATGAAAGGACATCCCGCTGCTTTTACACCCCCAGGGCGCTGTCAGCCTTAATGAGTTAATATCGTTAAGCCCTTCTGCTATCATCAGCTGGGAAGTAGTGGAAGGGAGGCTTTTCTGAAAACAACCCCCCCAAGACAGCGTTTGTATGTTCTTGGAACAATTTTTCCTCCAGCCGTCTGCTGCCTCTCCGCCTTCCCCCAGGAGGTGTGACCTGCACCTTGCACCGCTGCCATCGCTGCTGGTTTTATTACTACTGCCATCACCATTCCTTAATATTAATATTAATATTAAGTGGCTTGGAGTGCTAATCATGGTCCTGACCCCCTCGTGCTTTGTTTTGCACAAGTGTTGGCACAGCTGTGAGCTGTCCTGGTCTCGGGCACTCTCCGGTGCACACCGAGTAAAGCCACGGCTTTGCTGTGCTCAGTGCTGCCTAAAAATCCCCTACACCCATCCATAAAGCTCCCGTGGGTTTGCAGCCACGGAGCAGGGCAGAAGCGGTGTGCAAGGAGGTGAGTGAGATGTCCCCTTTGGGGGGCTGAGCAGGAGGATGCCCAGGAGAACCTGCACGATTTGGCCCCCCCATCACAGCAGCTCTCTAAATTACTAATTTAGGAACTAACTTACCACGGCATTGGAGTTCAGAGGTGAAAAATCATCACAGGTGTTGGCGATACTGCAAATTTTACATTGGGCCTTCCTCCCCATTTTTTCCATATGAATTCTTCCTTGTCCCCACAGCAGCACCGGTGAGGAGATGCTCCTGGGAGCAGACCCACAGCTGGGGAAGGTCTCCAGCACCCTAAACCTGCCCTCACACCTCCACCTTACCGAGCATCCCACCCAGCCCCACAGCTGCTGATTTCCCTGCACATCACCCGTTTTCAACCTCCATATTCAAGGCATTAATTACACCCAGCACAATTATTCTCACCCTCACACAACCGCCTCCACACCCGCCTGCCCTCCTGCCCCGCTCACGAAACTCCAAATCCTCTGCGCCCAACTTTCCTCTCCATGCAGCCTTTCCCCATTTTGAGCACATTTTTATTTTTCTTTCTTTGATGGATCATTCAAAGGCTTCGACAGCCGTGTTTGGGTTTTTTTTGTAACCTTTTCTGAGCGCTGCCTACTGCTCTTGTTTACAGCTGGGGCTTTCGGCTGCTCAACAGTTCCTCCATAAAAGCATTAGCTCCTCGCACTTGGGTTGAATGCTTGGCTTGAAATCGGGGCTTTCTATACCTTTGTATGCATTTTCTGCACCTGACTTGGCTAGACGGCAGCTCGCTGCGTCCTGGGGAGAAATTGCCTCTTCAAGAACATCCGCTGCATTGTTACGATGAATTTTGAAGGAAGAAAATAAAGCGTGCAGAGCCTGCAAGGTAGGAAAAAAGGAGGTCGAAACACTTCAGGGACTCGCACAGCCCTCGCAAGCTCCTGGATGTGGAGTGGGGAGCATTTGCAAGGTGGGCATTGCTTAGGGGAACTCGTTTTCCCCTAATTTACCCTTCCTCGTTGCCTTGCCCACGTTCCCAAGGGACCTGCAGGGTGCTTCCCCTTGGGAAAGGGGCTGGTCCCATCGCACCAAACCAGCAGCCTCTTTCCCATCTTTACCAAGCCCCACAGCCGATTTCTGGCCCTCGGGCTGATTTCTCCCCTTCTCCTCCTCCCCATTTGCTTTCTCATCATGTTTCCCCTTTCACCTCCATCCTCCCAGCTGCTGCAGTCAGTGCTATTGCCCTCTTCCCTCTGAGCCTTGTTAGGTGCTTACACGAGAGCCGAACTCTCCCAAAATGTCAGGGAGCACCACGCGCTTGAAAACCCAGCCCTGCAGTGCCCTGGAAATCTCACTGATTACTGCAGAGGTTATAAAAACAGGGGAAAATACAGCGAGCCTGGCCTCGGGTGATTCCCAGCTTCCTACAACAGCAAGCAACAGGCAGCAAGGGAGGAGGGAAGCCACATGGGAAGCCAGGATGGGAACATTGCAGGCAATCCTTGGTGCCAGGGGACAAATCCTGCTGTGTAGATGTGAGGATGGCAGCCAGGGAATGGGTCCCAGTGAGCCCTTTCAGCAGGCTGGCCACGATGTTCCCCAGGGCCAAGGGTTTTCTGGGTGCTGCAGCTCCCCTCTGCTGTTGCACAGCATCCCCTGTCCATAGAAAATGCCCATCCTAAAAAATCCTAGATGCCCATCCCCATCCTAGAAAATGCCCAAGTGGTCCTTCCCTTCTCCTTGCTCCTTGGTCTCTCTTTGCCCCTCTCTCCCTGCTGTTTGCACTCCTATTTTCCCATATCTCCAGAGCAAGCAACCGAGTTCTTCATTTGGGATAGAGGAAGGAGCCTCCATGCAACCCCATCCATAGCCAGAGCTCTCCACCAGCCTTATTAGAGATGAAAAATTAATGACCTTAATCCCAAGAAAAGCCAGATTTCTCCTGTTTTTCCACAAAAGCCAACGAGAGAAACAGCCCCTGAAACTTCAGGGCTTTCTTGCAGTAGCTCATGTTACTGCTGGGGGAAATGGCAGGGGCTGGGGTCTGCATTTTAAGTGTGTGGAGGCACATTGAGAGAGCCCGTGCCACCCCAAGAGAGATTTTGGTCCAAGCAGCCAAGGAGCAGGAGGGACCTGAAGTGCTGGAGAAGAAGCAGGACCAGATCTCCTGCTTGCCAGCCTGGTGACCTGCTCATCTTTAATGCTTCTTCTGAATTTTGCCTCAACGTGGGCTGTATGGCCACAAATTGTTGACTTTGCCCCTCTGCAGGACACGTGGGGTTTGAGTTTTATGGACTTGCAGGACAGAGCTCTGCTCACAGCGGGTTTGCTGCCTCCTGAGGAGTTATATTTGCTCTTCCTTTCCCTGCTGTTTCCTTAACCTAAAATAAAACGTCCCAGACTGAAAAAGAAAGAAAAAAAAAGGAGCGTGTTTTGCTCCCAGTGTCTGGACAAACATCTCACTTCCCAAGCCCTAAATAGAGCTAATGGGAGCTGACATGAGCTGGTGGGAGCTCGCTGAGATGCTGCAGCTTCAGAGGGTCACGAGAAACGTGGGGCAATGCAGCCCATGGGTCCCCTCCACCCACCCTGCCAGACCCACAGGAGAGGGCAGTCTGGCCGTACCCCATGCCACGAGCCTTGAAATATCAGAAAATCACCCCCCTTGAAAAATCAGCCTTCCCCTGGCTGTCCTTCTGTGCTTCTCATTACGATTGTGTGGCTTTAATTAGCGCAGCCCATGTTGCTCACAGCCCCTCCTCGGGGACAGCTGTGGCCGCAGACATTTATTTCTTCCCACCAAAACCCAACATTCGTGTGCCAGCAAGTCTTTTGCTGGGCGAGAGGGCTCCACACTTTGCCTCGGGTGAGAAGCAATGGTCTGGTTCGGCATTTTTGGAGGAGTTTGTAGTTTTTTGTTGGGTTGATGGAGAGGAGCCGCCTGCACCATCCTGCACGGGGATGGCACAGCTCCTGTGCCATTTACTGCTTATTTACCACCAGGATTTAAGTTACACACTCAGGGATGGATGTGAAGGGTGCCCAAATTGCACTGACTCAGCTCTGTCCAGCGGGGCTTTCACCTGGGAAGAACAGGCATCATTTCCATCAGCCCCAGGGCAAAAGTATTTAAGGGCAAGATACCAAGGCTCAGGAGCATTCGGTCCCTGCTCCATTCTGTTTCTCAAGGCAGAGGCCCCTGGGCTGCCCACATGCTCCATGTGCTAAGCCAGGCACCTGAGCTGCCCAGCATGCTCTTGCATTTGGGAAATCCTCGTGATGTTGTCCTAAAATCCACTGATCTGTTTTCGAACCTTTCCTTTGCACAGCTCTTGTCATATAATGCTTTAAAGGCAGGCTGTAAAAGCAGGGCAATACACCCCCCGATCATTAATGCACTTCCAAAAGGTGTTCTCACTTCTCTGCTTTGCTTTTCACAGCCCAGACGACAGAACGGCTGATGTGAGCAAATCTAAAATTAATCACCTGAGTGTCTTACAGGCTTCCAGGTAACGAGGGCAACTGCAAATTGCTGTCTTTGCGAGATGCACGGACCCTCACAGATTGCTCATCTCCTTGCTCCTCCTGTTTCTGCCGTGGGTTTGTTGCTCCAGGACTAGAAAAAACCTCCTGTCCTTACCTGCGGGTGTGAGAGGCAGAAACTGGGCAGCTTCTCTGCCTCACATGGACAGGAAGAAGCTCATTAATTAATTAATTAAGAATATTTACACTGTTCTTCTGAAGTAGGTTCTGCTCCAGCCAATTCTGCTCCAGCTTTGTTCCTTCTTCTCCAGCAGCCAGGATGCTCCAGAAACAACCCCGGAGGCAGAGGTGATGAAGCTGAAGAGCTTAGATGATCACTACTGTGATGAGCATCATTTACACAACAAAATAAGATGTTTAGATGTGACAGACCAGACAGAAGGGTGCACAGAGCTGGAGCCTAACAGGGTGCAGAGCCGCTCTCAGGAGCACGCACCCAGGCTGTCAGAGCTGAGCTATGCGAGGGAAGGAGGAGATTTAAAAACCAAGCATGCATTAAATGGTGAGCAGGCTGGACGTCAGACTGCTCTGCCAGCAAGCTCAAAGTCAAAGGTTTCACCTACAAAACAGTCCATGGGTGAAGAACGTCCTGGTGAGAGACCTGCCTCAGACCCAGCCGATGGAGAATTACTGTCTGCAAGCACACCGCCGCTGACTGCTTTGGGAATGAGCGAGGGATTTAAGGGTTTTGTGCGAACCTGAGCACTGGGACGGGCATGATCCAGACCTCTTGGAGTTCAGAGACACCTTGAACCAGACCCCAGACCAGTCGATCTCCAATAATCCTTACTGGATTGCAAAGGCCTTAGGGCTGCCGGGGATGTTTGAGCTCACAGGAAGCCTTTGCGAGCAGGGATTAATTTGCGAGAGGAACTGAGAGCTGGAGCTGTAAGCCAGGGCCCTGACCCAGCATGCCAGGCTTCTTTCATTACCACTGTTCCATAATTATTTGAGCAATGGTTACGTTTTCCCAGATACTGCCTCGAAAACCTGGGGAGAATTTGATCTACGGCTTGGCAGAGGGTGCGCCTGCTGCCTACCTGCAGCAAAGGCAACACTCGCCTGCCAAGAACATGGTCTGGATTCACTGGGATTCGGGCTGGAATTTGCAATATCCCGTCTGCCAAGCACATATTCAGCTTTATGTGTGCTTTGATTAAAGAGGGGGGAGAAGCCTTTGCCGTAGCTGATGTCTTCTGTTGCCCTGAGAACACCTTTCTGGAGGCTCTTTCCCCGTTTCATCCAGCCTCTTCATTCTGGCAAGGTTTTCCACCCTGCTGGGTTTC